GTAGAGGTGGGACTTCAGATGTGCCTGCGCTCTGCCTCATCTTGTGTCTTCTTGTGTGTTAAGTGTCCACCATGGGGTGCACATTCTGCTATGCTAATAAAGTAAAGGTAACTGTGGGTTACTTCAGTGAGTATGCTGTGTGTGCATTTGCCTCTCACCACCTGGATTACCCTTATCATCTGGGAAAGTCTCTAATATCATTATTTTTCCAAATAGTGCAGACCCCACTTTGTCTGGCTTCTGCTGACCACATAATCTCAGCAGAGCAGATTTCCCAGCCTCCCATCTCCTGGCGGGTTATCTCATTCCCACAGCCTGGAAGATGGGTTCACCTTTTAACTCTTGATTTCTTGATATGGCTGTTAACCCTCTAAGATCGAGAGTCTTAGAGCCTTAGAGCCTTACACAGATATGTTGGCTGTCTTATTTCCTCTGAAAAATATTCATCCCTTTGTGCTAAGGGGTCCTGTTTTTCATGAGGATCCCTGACTGGGTCAGGAATACTTCTAGCTTATGTGGAGGGAAGAAGGAGAAGACAGAGTGGACATAGGTTTACTTAAGTAGATTCCCTGAGAAAATTCTCTACTGATGGCATCTCTTTGAGACAAGGTCATCTCATAAAAATGAAGCCAGGGAAAGGAGAGGTATGCATACTCATCTTGGAGAAGGGGAAATAGAACTTACTGGGGAGACATAATAAGATGGCCAAGTTCAATTTCAACCAGAGTTGAGATTTATGGTCACAAATTTAAGATAGAAACAACCTAGCTGCAAAATTCTGTTTTGAAGCCCAAACTGGGACAGATGTTTGAGTTAACTCTAGTTTGGAATATTGCAGGTGGGTGGAAATGAGGGGAGAAAAAAGCAAGGGGATTAATGATATTTGCATCATAATGGTAGAAAAGTGATTCTCAATGGCAGCTGCACATTAGAACTACCCATGGAGCTCTCAAATCCTGATTTAATAGGTCTAAGATGGGGACCAAGTATTGGCATTTTAAAAAACTCCTCAAGTATGTATAATTTGCATTTGGCACTACGTAGACTGTGAATCCAAGCTGAGTCATGAGAGAGGCGAGGAATAAACAAATGAAAAGTAAATGTTATAAAATCAGTGAATCCGAAATTACAAAAACAGCAAAAATGATAGCAGTAAACTACTAGAGCAGGTAAACTGGAATGATAGGAAATCATGACTGGTCAGTAAATATCTGAAGGTTTTTGAAGATGAGGTCTAGGTGTGGGAGTGGATTCCCAGGGTGGAGCCAAGGAGAAGGACATTGTAGGTGAGGAGGCAAAGAGTATAAGGTCAGTTTTTGTTTTTGTTTTTGTTTTTGAGATAGGTTCTCTCCAAGTGCCCAGGTGACCTCAAATTTGCAATGCATTGGCCTGAGCCCTCCAGGTATCTGGGATTCCAAGTGAGCACCCCTGTGTCCAGTGAGATCAGAATTTTGATTTTTCACATGTTCATTCAAACACTGAGCATGGGTGGAAAGGAGGACTGAACCATTCTATAGAATTCTTCTGTAATGGTGAGGAGTGCCCAGTGGGACAGTGGGGAGCAGTATAGAGTGTTGTAGCCACACAGGCAACACAGGAAGGGATCTCCTTGCAGGAAGAAGAGCAGGAACTGGCTCAGGAGAAACAATAAACGTGAACATCACAGAAGTCAAGTGTCTCTCTTCCTGGCTCTGAGGTGGGATGTGAAAGAAATATTAGCTTCCTGGTAAGGTGGAGGCTTCAAGGAACAGAATCCTAGTGTTAGTCATGAAATGGTGGTGGAAGAAGCTTCCAGAGATGTTGACAGTGGGGCAGCCTCTACAATAGACAAACCAGGAGCCGGAGAGCACAGTGTGGGCTGGGAGGGAGGATGTGGGGATCCTGGCTCAGAATGGGGGTTTCACAAGCAAGTGGGTGATGAGATGTGATGTTATGAAACAAGCAAGGGGTTGGCTCTTTTAAAGAACAAAGAACTCAGTGGGGACATGGAACATGGTGGACTTGGTCTCTGGAGCATTGATTGTTGTCCCCAGTACTTGGCTCAGTAGTGTAGCTTCAGGCCAGCTGCTTTCTTTGAATCTATAGAGTGGGATAGGACTTTGGGGTGAATAAAACAAGGAGAGCACTTGGAGGTGGGTGGAGTGGTGGGAAAGTGAGAAGTGCTCTTTTGGACATGATGGATTTGGGACCTAAGTGATATCCAGGTGGATGTTCTAGTTGACAGTTGGATACGCAAATATATGTTAGTGTCACCTGTCCAGGAGGACAGATATCAGGGAGGTAATCAAATTATAAAAGTTGCTTGACTTAGGGATGTCAGTCCTTTGGCACATTTTCTTTCCACATTTCTGATGGTCCTTCCCCATGGAAAATTATATATGATCAAGAATCAGTAATTATCAATGGTTGGCTATTGCCACCAGGTGGGAAGTAGGGTCTTTGAAGCCAAACTGGGACTGTTGGCGGCTATGCAAAACTTCCATGGCAGAAGACCTTCTCAGATGGCTCTCAAAGAACCCCACCCTGATCTCCAGGACCTGTGGATCTGATGGGGTTACTTCCATGGTTGTGTGATATGGCCCTGTTAACCTTAGAATGGGGGTTCCCAGCTTAGGCAGGTGGACCTAACATAAAAGCCCTATAAAAAGTAGATTTTTCTCCATATGGGGCAAAAATGGAGTCGGAGAGATTTGAAGCCAGAGAAAGAGATGCAAGATGCTCTTGCTGGCTTCAAGAAGGACTACTGAGAAATGACAGTCAGCAGGAAGGGGTGACCTCAGTCCCACAGCTACCAGGAACTGAATTCAATATCCTGAGTGAGTTTAGAAATAGATTTTTCCCTAGAGCCTCCAAGTAAGAGCCTGATGTGTCACCAAATTTGATTTTTGAGTTTGTGAGTCCTAAGCAGAGAATCTGACTCAGCTATGTGAGGCTCTTGTTCTACAAACCTATAAGAAAATTAATGGGGATTATTTACATTTGTGGGGATTTGTTACACAGCAACAGTTAACTGAACAACCACAGAAACAGTGCTTTTGAGGGGATGCCCATGCACATTGCTCTCTTGTTTTATGATAGGGATCTGTCACCATTTCTGCCATGGTTGACTCTGGTGCACCCAGACATGTGGGAGGGTCACTGCTGACTGCCATGGCTGACTTAAGGTGGACCGCTGAATTCCCCGGAGGGGGAGGATGATGGTTTACTGCATTACACCAGGTACAGGAGAGATACTGGCTAAGGACTTGGAAATTCTAGGGATTGTGAGAAGGATATAAGCTATGAAGGAATTGAAGGTGTTCATCCCTACTGGTCAAGAAAGAAAGAGGAGCTAAGCAGGGACTGATAGATTTAGAAAATGGGAGGACTCAGACACTGGAGGAGCATGATGAAGATAAACGAGGGGTGTAGGTGACCAGATAGGAACTGGATGTGCAGAGAAAAAGGAGGGGGGAAGGATTTGCAGGAAGTAATGGTTTCTAGGAAACATATGGAAATTGAGTACGCCTAGTGGTAGCCCTTTCAGGAATCCCACCAACTTGTATGACTGACCCCATGTATAGCCTTGCATACAATTCAAGTCCCAATGTTCACTTACCCAAGAGTCCCCCTTCCTGTGTCCCATGTCTATTAACTAGAGACACTCTTACTTTCCAACTATCTTAGGTCCTCTCTCTTTTGCTAATAGCTTTAACTGGATGGGACTCTGGCCTGCAGGGTGTCTGAGGACTATGATTCAGAGGGGCTAACATGTAGTATCACCAAGTCCCAGAGCAGAAGTGGTTGGCCTGGCTCCCACCCTTTCCATCCTGGAAGCGGAGCCTGAGACAAGAACTTGGTCCTAGAAAGGGATCTCACAGGGACTTGGGAAAGGAAGCAGGGAAGAGGAAGAACTGACACAAAGGTGCATTTTAGAGATCACCCTGTGGTGACTTGGAGTGTAGCTGGGCAGAGTGCTTACCTAGCATGTGCAAGGGTGTGGGGATTGAACCTCACAGAGAGAGAGAGAGAGAGAGAGAGAGAGAGAGAGAGAGAGAGAGAGAGAGAGATATCAGTGGTATGAGCTCTGGGGGCTTGGTTGCACTTCTCAGAATTGTACAGGATGCTCGCCATGACTCTCTGAGGAATGGGAGGGGTGCATTTATCTGCAGCTCTCATCCTGAGTGGTTGAGGGTCACCCCAGAGACATGAACTACATCCCATTGCTGCTCTTATATTCCTTCCTGGCTACTCTTGTGCAGTCTGTGTGTCAGAAAAGCCCAGGGCAGAAAGAAAAAGAAGCTTGAAAAGAGGATAATAGAAAACAGCTCATGAAAAAAAATGCTCAACATCATTGGTCATTTAGGAAATGTGAATCAAAACCTCACTGAGGCCTGGCGTGGTGGCACCTGCCTATAATCCCAGCGCTTGGGAGGGTGAGGCAGGAGGATTGAAAGTTCAAAGCCAGCCTTAGCAACCTAGTGAGGCCCTAAGTGCCTTAGCAAAAGCCTATCTCAAAATAAAAAATAAAAAGGGCTGGGGATGTAACTCAGTGGTTAAGCCCCCTAGGTTCAGTCCCTGGTACCAACCAACCAACCAACCAAACAACAACAACAACAAAGGACAGAGGCGGGGGTGGGGGCACAGGGAGAGGTAGAGACATAAAAAGGAGAAGGAGAAGCAAACTTGTTCCTGAGCTTGCATGGAATTCTGTAATGTGCTGCAGCTGAAATCACATTCAGTGGAGGGATATGACCTGGTGCACTGTAGACTCCTAATGGGAGAGGTCTTCAGATTATATTCAGCCTTATCCTGCTATAGAGGAGGACACCAAAGCCCTGTTATGGAAAGTGTCTTTCCCAGGTTCACCAGTCACCATGGATGCCATGGTGAATCCATGACAGATTCACAGAGGTCCTCAGAAGACCAAGTCTTTGTGCAGGGCTAGGCAGGGCTCAGAGCTACCCTTCCTCCGCCTTCCCACCAGTCCCTGCATGGAGACTCGACTCATGGACTTGCTGCCAGTGTGATTTTATTTGGGAGAATGGGGGATGGATGGGCATGGGAGGAGATGATCAGTGCCTCTGAGTCCAAATGTCATAAGAGGGACAGCAGTGGACGCATCTGGTGGAATCTGTCAGCGCTTTGAGAAATCACCTGCTGAAGGACAAGAAGAGGACAGATAGGCTAGCAAGAGAGGGAAGGGGGTCGAAAGCAGGGCAGCAGAAGCTGGCATCTGCTCTTCCACTGTGTGCAACCCAGGAGGCATCGGAGCCCTGGGTTGCAGACACACCTTGGCAGGCGCTGCACTGGCAACTGTTGATAACCGGCAGCACCACTGGCTCGGTGCGGCCATCTGGACATTGCAGGTTCAGGATCCTTACAGGGCTGTCGGGGTCCAGGCGGTAACTACAGCAGTCGCACTGGCTCTGCAGGTAGGGCTCCTGGGCGAGACAGGGTGGTTGAATTGGGGGAGGACTAAACCGTTCCTTGGCCTTTCCCATCTGAGGTGGGAGTATTGATCCCAATCCTCCTAGACAAGCAGGGTAGCTGAGCTGGGAGGGAAGTGTCACCAGCAAGCCCCACTTCCCAAGAAACCGCCCTCTTCACTTCTGCCAGCCTGAGTGGTCAACAACCTTCAGGTTAAAAGAGAGCAGCAGGGGAAAGACACAGCTCCCCGCCCCCCCGCCCCCCAGCAAGGGGCTTAGGGTCTGGTTGATAGATGGACTGATAATATTGAAACCCTAATTAAACCCTAACTGCAATTCTGATCCAGTATAAAGTGAGCTCTCTTTCCAGAACAGGCCCCTTCTTGCCCTTCAACATTATAGTGATCTTTTTACAAGTAAACTAGTTATAATTCCGTGTGTGTGTGGGGGGGAGGTATTGGGGCTCAAACCCAGGGCCTTGCACGTGCTAGACAGGTGCTCTACCACTGAGCCACATCCCCAGCCTTATTCTTCTCCTTCGAGATAGGTAATACATTCACATAATACCATGTTACAAAACTACAAAGATTATTTGATTACATCTCCCAATTACTTTCTTCACTACATTTTTAAAATTCCAAAAGAGATTTGGGAAAGCATCTCTAGGAGGCGCAGAAGTGGTTGAGGGCTGAGGGGCCGCATCTTTGGGGACCAGGTTGGAAAGCACCTCTGTCTTTCTGGTGGTCAGAGGCACGAGGAAATGGTCTCAGAGTAGAAGTCCTGGTGACAGGACCCCAGGGGCACCATCTGATCTGAACTCTGGGCCTGTAAGCACCCTCTGGCTCACCTCAGGCATGACGTTGGTGCTAGATGGGCAGTGCCCACTGCAGTAGCTCACTTCTACCTGGTCCAGATGGCAGGGGCCCTTGGTGAGGTTACGAAGCTCAGTGAGATGCCGGCAGGAGGCTGACTGTGCCTCTGTGTGTGGAAGGGTCACGTAAAAGTGGCAGGAGGTGGAAGCAGGGCAGAGGGGGAGGCTAGGACTAAGGGGACCCTGGGAAGGGGGTGTGTGTGGGACAGGGCCTGGGACTCTGTGGGGTGGGGGTGGCCAGCTGCTGTGATGCAGCCCTATAGAGCTTCATCCTCTAATCCCTATATGAGCAGCCTGGGCAAGGTGGGCACACACCAGGCTAAAAAGTTGGGGTGTAGGGGCAGTTGGGGAAAAAGGAGATGCAGAAGTGGTTGAGGGTTAAGGGGCTGCATGTTTGGGGACCAGAACCCAGGTCCTACGTACCCAGGGTCTCCCTGCGGCAAGTGGGACAGCAGCTCCCTGGCTCCTGCACAGTCACCTCGTCCTGCAGAGTGGCCCTTGCTTGAGTCAGAAGGATGGCCCCATCACCCACACCCCACACAGCCTGTGTAGAACCCTAAGATCAGTCATAGATGAGGACCCCTGAAGAGCCCAGGAGCCACCTGGAAGCGTTGCAGAGCCCAGGGGGTACCTGAGCACAGTTGAGGAGGGGGCAGTGCCGGGTGCAGACGCTCCTCCCGCGGAGGCATTGGCAGCTCTCACAGTCCTCCTGCCATTCAGATCCAAGCTGGGAGTGGGGGGTGGGGAAAAGTCACCTCTTGGTCTCTCCCAGTGTCCCATGGTAACATCCTGGGCCTGAACCCAGCCTGGGAGCACCCAGCCAGGACAGTGGCCTAGGACTGGAGTCTCAGGTAGGTGACAAGCCCTAGGGGCCAGAGCAGGGGTCCCACCCAGGGCTAGATTCTGTCCCTTGAGATGGCCAAGCCCGGCTCCACTGCTGTAGGTCCTGGGAGTAAGGGCAGCCAGGGAAGTTACAGATACTTGGCAGGTGGGGCGGCCTGGGGTCAGGCAGGGGGACACGTCTTACCAGGTGGAGATGCCCGTGGTGCCAGCATTCACACTGGTCTGCGGGGACGCAGGGGCCCGCCTGGCTACGGAAGTACCCTTCCTGGCATATGCATCCCGGGGTCTGGACAGCACTGCAGTTGCCCTGAGCTGCTGTGGTGTTTGTCTCCTGGCATGTCCACTCACAGGGACCCAGCTCTTCAGGACCCACGTGCTGCCACATTTCCCCAGGGGGGCACTCTGTAGAGAAGACCATCCGTACACTCTCTGGTTGGCCCTGGGCCCAGCCTCAATCCCTTGCCCTGCTGGGCAGCCCTCAGACCCCTCTTCTTCCCAAGTGCTTCTCCACAGCTCTAGCCACCTGCACCCACTCACCCACCCAAATAGCTGGGCCCGGGCCAGGTCTCACCCCCTGGCCATCCTGCCACCCTGACCTCTGTGTTCTGGCACCAAGTTCACATGCTGTGACACTGCCTGCTTGTCAGTGCCCAGGCGTGATCTCCTGTCTCTACCTGTTCTGGTGGTGGCCCCCTCTTGCCAGCCAGGCTGGGAGTGCCAGGGGCTGGGAGTGTCTTCCTCTGAATCCACCGAGATCTGTGGATTGTTTTGCTTACCGCTCTGGGCCTCAATGTCCTCAACAGCAGCACAGAACCTTCCACAGAGAACCTGGCCTCACCGGTGGCCCTGGCTCAGTGTGCACATGTTCTTGGTGAGCACCCTACAGGTGGGGCGGTGTGACAGTGCCTAGGAGTCCTGGGCAGGGACTGCTGGGCCTCAGGGCAGGGAGGAGGCAGTGTGGACAGAGAGGGAAGGGGCTTCCTGAGGAGCTAGCTTAGCTTCGCCCCTGCTCAGGCCGGCCAGCCTTGGCGTTGAGGGGCATGGACAGCCACATCTCACCCTGACAGTCGATGGGGGAGCAGCTGAAGGCTCCATCTTGGCAGGTACTGGGAGGACAGAAGCACAGCTCAGAGCCTTTTGCGCAATCCTCCCCTCCGCCCCCTCAGCAACCCCGTCCTCACCCGGCTCCCCACTCCAAGTCTCTGGGCTCACCAGCGGGTGCAGTTTCTGGTGAGCACAGCCCCCGGGGGCAGCTCCTGAGCCTGCTCTTCAAGAGTGAGGGTGAGGCCCCAGGGCAGCAAGAGCTGAGTGCAGGGACAGGCAGCAGGGGGCACGCACGTGCCATTGTGCAGCAGCTGAGGAGGGCAGGCTTGCTTGAATGTGGACACCGCCTCTAACCTCCCAACCTGCCCGCTTCCCCAGGCAGGAGTCAGGACCCAGCAGCTGTACCCACCTGTCCCCTGGGGCAGCCACAGCCCGGTTGGCAGGGTTCCTGCGTACAGATGGTGCCAGGTTGCAGGTGTGAGCAGAGGCTTGGGCATGACGCAGCACAGGCACTGAACACCTGGCCCGAGGGGCACTCTGTGGGGAAGTGGGAGTGTCCCAGGATGAGGCTGATGGGACTTCCCAACCTCCGCCTCCACTCAGGTAGGTCGGGGCCTGGATCCAGCAGTGATGGAGGGATGGAGGGAGGGATGGCAGGCCCCTGGGCCCAGGGTGCTCACCAGGGCAGGGCTGCAGGTTACAGTCTTGCTGTTGTTTCATGTCCTGGGCCTGGCATAGTGCCCCCTGAGGATGTTCCTTGCAGCTCCGATGACGGTCCATGGTGCCCCCACCACAGGCAACTGAGCACTTGCTCCAGGCTGACCAAGGCCCCAAGGTTGGACACTCAAGGTGTGGGCACACTAAAGACCCATTGATGCAGGTGCTGTGGACAAGGGACAAAGCAGGGGGAACAGAACCTCACTCCTCTGCAGGGTCCACAGCCCTGACCTGCCCCACATCTCCTACGTCAGGGCATCACTAGGGCAGCTCACCAGTTGTGGCAGTCCAGTTGCACCACCTGGGCTGGGGCCAGCTCCCAAGAGGCATTGGCACTGGGAAGGCCACAGCGGCAAGAGGAGATGGGCACACAGTGCCCATCCTGCACCAGCTGGCCAGGAGGACAGCGGCAGCCTAAGGGTAGAAGTGGGGAGGACAAAGATTTGGTGCTCAGGCAAGGCTTACATGGTGGGTCCCTCCAGCAGCCACACCTGGTGCAAATGTGGGTCTGCACAATCTCTCCCACTGCTGCACAGGAGACACTACTCTGGCCTGCCCTGTGTGTGTGATCACCATCCTGTCACCCTTATAGCACCTGTGAGCCTCCTCATAAAAGCAGGGTTTGACAAAGCCTTTGTGCAGGACTCAGAGCTGGTTACTACAAGTCAGGACCCACTTTTGTACTCTATGATGACCTGGCAGTCTGATCTTACCCCCCACCCGACAGCCCACTCCATTCTCAACCCAGGTCTCACACTTCCTGGAAGCAGGAGGTAGTGAAAGGGAACCAGGCATCCCCAGAATTCCCAAGCCAGGCTGAGCACAGCTGGCTACCTGGACTGCAGGGTCCCTGCAGACATTGCACTCGGTCCCAGAGGTCCATGCAGCTTCGAGGGCATTGATTGGCACATTCAAGGGTGGGCACAGTGTCCTTAGCCTCACAGCTTTTTCCTGGGGCCCAAAAGGTAGGAATCTGTGTTGGGGACACTCTTGGCATCCAGGGCAGTGGCCCCACTTGTCCTGTCCAACTCCAGGACAGAGGCACGAACCCTGTGCAGGTGCTATTTCTGAATGCAGTCCTGGCAACCCTTTGGATGCTGAGATGGCATTACCTGGGCAGGGCCCCATATTGCAGCTCTGGGTCTGAGCCCATGGCCCACGGCAGGCTCCTCCAGGGAGGCCCCCTGCCTCTCTCCAGCGCATTCGGAAGCCTCCACTGCAGGGCACCTGGCAGGGGCTCCAGGGTCCCCAAGGGTTCCACTGGCATGAGTCTGGGAAAGAAAATGTAGGTCAGTGTATTGACCCCACCTCCTTCCCTGCCTTAGACTGTGGACTTGACCTCTGCAAACATGTCCTGAAGCCCTGCCAGGCTCCCCTTCTTTCCAGCTGCTGCTTGGACCTTCCCCCAGCCTCGAATCCAGCAGGCCCCAGAGGCAAGCAGGAGGGCTAGCAGGTTGGCTAACTCCTGTCCACTAGAATGAACTTGTGGCCCAGCTTCCCACCCCCTTCTGCCATTCCAGGCCTGTTCCTCCCTGTTGGCCTCTGCCCCTCCTCACTACCTTGACAGGCTTCGGGGTCAGGGCAGAGGCGTTGCTGGTTAAGGGGTGCAGTGCAGAGCTGAGGGTCCCCAGCCCAGGGCCTCCCTGTCTCAGGATCCAAACACAGGCGGTGGCGGTGCTGCTCCGAAACCAGCAGGGATGTCGAGGGTGGCCAGAGGCCTGTTGTGTTCGGAGGCCAGTGCTCCTCCAGGGTAGTCCTGGACGTACGGGTCAGGGCACTTCGGGGCAGGCAGGGCCCACAGGGTGACCATTCGGACCAGCTGCTCAGAGGCAGAAGCCCTAGAAGGGCAGGATGTTTGTGCACGTCCCAGGGACTCCTTCACCCAGAGACCCAGGGAGGGAGGGCAGGGAGGGTGCTCAGGGTTATGATCAGGAAGAACAGGAAATAGGAAAGACTGAAGGAGGTTAGGGAAGGGTCCCCTTTATCTGGGATTATCCCAGTTTTAGCACTGAAAGTTCCTGGAAACCCCACCCTGGGCAAACGAGGACAGTTGTCTCCCCAGGCCAGGGTTACCTGCACAGCCCCCGCTGGTGCAGCGCAGTTCTCCGTGCCAGCATTCGCTGTGGGAAGGCGACATCAGAGTGGGCTCTGGCAGGCAGGACCCAGCCCAGAGCTGTGTGTGTTGGAGGGTTCCTTTGGGGACAGCCTGAGCTCTGGGTGTATTTGGGGCAAGATGAGGGAGCTGTAAAGTCTGGCACCTTGGGGCCACCTGCCTGCAGGCTGGGTTAGACCTGAGGGCTTAGCTTGGCCTTCTCTGCTAGGCCAGGCTGCCTCTTGGGGGGACCCTGCTCTACTCCCTGGCCTTAGCCTTCTGCCTCTCATCACCCCGTCACTCACCACTCCTTACACCCCAGCTGCAGGTGGTCCCCAGGGGCCAGTGTCACCTCAGCTCCCTCTTCTGAGATGTGCCAGCAGTTACATTGCTCGGGGGGAATGCAGGCCCCAGCCTGCTCCAGCAGCCCCTGTGTGGAAGGAGAGACACGACAGGGCTATGTGGTGATCACTGTGTCACCCGAATGCCCAACATCATGCTGACCGGCAGCAGGTGCCCATGCGGTCACTAAGTGAATGAATGTGGGAATGAACACAGCTGGGAAGAGGTTTTGAGGGTTTGGAAGAGGTGGGGGTCCCCCAGGGCATCACAAAGAGAGGGCACTCTTCTTCTTGGGGCGTCCCCAGCTCCCAGCCCTCACCTTGGGGCAGTAGCAGCCAGGCTGGCAAGCCGGTAAGTCCTGGCAGAGCTGCCGGCTCAGGTGTGTGGCACAGAGCCCGGCGCAGGGGGAGCCGCAGGCCTGGAACTCAAAGGGAGGTGTGCAGCTGTCCTCTGGGGGGAGGCAGGCTGTTGGGGCAGCAGCCCAGAGACACCCTCCCACACCCCAGCACGGACTGCGTGACCCCAGGGAGGCTCCTGGGGTCACCTGGTGAGAGAGTAAGACTGCCCCTGCTGTGTCCCCCATCTGGAACCTGCTGGGCTCCTGTGTCCCCCCAGGGGAGGATCAGTATGGTCTGGACCTCAGAGAGCCAGGTAATGGTACAGAGGAGGGAGCTGAGGGTTGGGCCTGGTGGGTGCTCCAGGGACTGGCAGGGACAAGATGGAGGGCAGCTTCAATGGGAGCTGAGAGACACATTGTCATTGGGACAGCTACATGGGACAAAGCCACATGAGACCAGTAGCTATGGAGTGGGAAAATCTTGGTGTGTGCGTGTGGGGCGAGAGTAGCTGGCAGGGATAGTAAACAGGCACCGGGGCAGGGGTCAGTGCAGGCATAGAAAACTGTCCTGGGGTCTAGGGAGCCCTGGGTTTGTGATAGGAACCGCTGCTGCTCCTGATCAGCAACCTGGCTTCTGGCTCCTGGGCCTCACCTGAGCAGTTGCCAGTCGGGCATGGCCGGAAGTGGCCATCCAGGCGGGTGCAGGGGGGGCCCTCTGCCGTGCCGCCAGGTGCTGGGCCCTGGTGCCGGTAGCGCTGCTGCACCAGCACCTGGCATGAGCAGCGCGTCCAGCTGCTCCAGCCACTCCACAGGCATTCCTCTAGGGACAGGGGGTGTGAGGGCGGGGGACATCAGCAGGCACCTCTCTGGCTTCCCCAGCCCCTGCCCTGCATCCTCCCCTCTCGCCCTCCCCTGGCTGGAACCCTGCAGAGGACACGGGCAAGAGGGAACCAAGGGTTAGAAAGGTCCCACTGGGTGGACTCTGTCTCCCTGGGGAGGAGGTCAGGTGGCAAAGGGCTTGAAGGGAAGAGGAAAGAAACCAGCCGAATGTTGGGGGGATGGATATAGGTATACATTGGGAGTGCTAGGGGTGGGGACAACACGTTATTCCCTGAATTTCCCCAGGTGGGAGCGGCGGACAGAGCTCCACTTCCTCGCCATACTCACCCAGGCAGGGCCCCGCGTAGCAGGCCTGGGTGTCCAGGTGTGGGAAAGTGCCGTTGCATGTGGGCTCTGCCTCGGCCGGCAGGCAGGGGCAAGACCCAGAGCGGGAGGCCAGGCCTGAGCCACAGCTGCGCGAACAGGGGCCCCATGGGCCCCAGGAGCAGGCCTCCAGCAGCGGCTGGCATGGCTGCTGCCCACAGGGCTGGGTCTGGGTGTCAGGGCCCTGGCAGAGCGGCTCCCTGTGGTGAGGGTCCGGCACCACGCATGCCCGGGTGCGCACCTGGTTTCCTCCTCCACAAGAGACAGGGCAGTCGGACCACAGGGACCACAGCGTCCAGCTCCCTGTCAGTGTGGGAGGGCATAGGTAGTTAGAGGAGTGAGGTGGGCAGCAAAGACCAGAGGGTGGGAGGGACCACCATGATCGGGGCAGCAGTTGGGTGGCAGGGGTAGGGACACAGGACACAGAGTGGACGGCCTGAGAGACATGAGGCTAGCAGGAAGGGCTGAGGTGGGTGCCACGCAGGGTGAGCGGGTTCTGTGCAGCTGCGGGAACAGGGGAACCATAGCGACCAGGGGCCCCAGCCACCTGGGATGAACCCCAGACCTGGACACTTGGTGTCTTCACAGATTATGCCCTCCGGGGTACAGGAGCTGAGGAAGGAGTCCACGCTTAGGGTCCCGCTCTCCAGGACAGTAGGGTCACCCCTCCTGCCTTGAACTTACCACTGCTGGCACCCTCCCTGCAGCCAGCTGTCCCCCAGGGTGTGGACACGGCCCTCATGGAGGCACAGGGGTGGGCACGGAGGCTGAGGGCAGGGCTGGCTCTGGGACTGCTCCTCTTGACACTCCGGGGCCCACGAGCCTGATGTGGACGATCTGGCAGGGCCCAGGGTGGAAGAGGTGAGCAACAGCTCTGGCCTTCACTGCCCCTTCAGGCCTTGGGACGTTACCCCAGGGGAAACTCCAGGGTGGGCACGAGGGAGGCTAGAGAAAGGCTTGGTAACCAGGACACAGGTGGACCAGGACATGGGATGAGAACAGGACCCAGGAATGGCATGTGGGAGAGGGGACCAGGCCAAGGGAGACCCGAGCAGGAGAGGGGACCTCTAGTCTTGGTGGCCCTCTACCGAAAGCGACTCTGCAGTCCTCTTGGCCCACATGAGTGGCTGCAGGGACTCCAGGCTGACCAGCGGCTCCAGGCACAGTGGGCAGGAGGTGGGCACGGCTGAGCTGTGCAGGACAGCTGCCCGGCCTGGCAGGAGCAGTTGTTACAGGCATCTTGGTGCTGGCTCCCTGGGGCCCAGCTGTGGCCCTGGGCATCTGTACACTCACAGTGCCCAACTGGCACACAGCTGCTGTCCTGCTCTAGGGACCCTGTGGGGAGATGGCTCTTGAGGGCTGGTGCTGGCCCCTGGGGCCCTCCTGCCTTCCCACTGAACACCTGGATGTACCCTCAGCACAGCGGCAGCCCCACTGGCAGGCCTGGCCATCCTGACACAGGACTCCCTCCTGCAGGTCTGAGCAGCGGCGAGGACAGCGGTTGGCACAGCTGACCAGCTCCATGCCTGCTGGGCAGCCCTCCTCTGGGTGGAGGGGGAGGCCAAGTGTCAAGAGGACCCTGAGCATCAGGGCTCAGGACCCCTCCCCTTGCCTGTCCAGGACCCCCTTATCTCTAGAGGCCAGAGGGCTCATCCTCTCTTTGATGCTGGTGTCCATAGGCGCATGGTGACCTTGGGACAGTGAGCTCCCCTTACCCACTGGTGTGTTCTCAGCACCTAGCTGGGCACGAAGAGTTCATTGAGTGGGACCGAATTTATGCATCTCAGAGCTACCTTGAGGCTCCGCTGGGTTGTTCCCAGGGGCCTGGCTGGGTGCAGTGTGGGCTGGGGGTTTCCTAACGGAGGAGGAAGGGACCAAGTAGCCAAGGCCTGTTGGGGTCGTGAGCTGGGGAGGAGCGATGAAAGGAGCTGAAGCGGGGCGGGCTGGGGGACAGGGCTCAGCTACAGGCTCCACCACACCCCAGGAGGACCAAGCATGCTTCTACTGGCTCACCCTCAAATCCTCTGAAAATCTTGTCTGAGCTTGGGGGTTCCCCAGGAGCAGGAGGGTGGGGAAAGCTGGGAGTGAGTTCTGCCCAGGGTGGGTGGGTGGTCAGGGTGTGTCCCGGTGGCTCATCCTGGGCCATGCTGTACCCAGGTGCACACAGGGAGTTCCTGCCCCGTGCACAGGTCAAGCTACTCATCTCTGGATCTCTGTTTTCTTAACTGGCCAGTGAGGTAACAGCCTGTTTCCCACTATCCCGTGGTTCCTGTTGGAGTGTGGGGATGGAGTTAGAAGTGGGGGTGGAGATGCTTTAGAGACTGAAGCCCAGTAGGGATGAGAAGCGGCTGTCACCACTGCTATACCACAGGGCATGGGATTGCAGAGCCGGGCATGGTGCTTCTCCCCCACACAGGGGGCACCCCCATTCTTGGGTGGGGGGCTCGAGCAGCTTCGGCTCCTCAGGGATTGGCCCCCACCACAGCTCCGGTCACACCAGGACCAGGGGCTCCAGCGCGACCAGCCCCCAGGCACTGTGTTGGAAAGAGAGCTCCATCAGGGGTTGGCTCAGGCAGGTCCCCACACATTCCATGAGGCTAAGCCTGTGTCGGGCATGGGAGACGGATGGGGCATTTCGGGCAAGCTGGGCACCTCGGAGGAAGCAGGATGCCAGGCCTCTTATGGGCAGGTCTGGGGAGGGGTGTGGGATGGGTGTGCCCTGATCATGTGTGCTGCCTCACCTGGGCAAGCACGCAGGCTGCAGAAGCGACGCTCCTGGAAAGCCGTGAGGATGTCGGGGCACCAGTGTCCACCCGGCCCTGGGGGACGGTATGCTCGTAGGCGGTGCTGTTGGCCCACCCCGCAGCTGCGCGAGCACGGTTCCCATGGGCCCCAGGAGGTCCAGGAACAGTTCCCAGGCCCACAGCCAGGGCTGGAGCACAGGGGCTGCAACTCTGCAGAACAAAGTGAAGCTGGAGCCCGCAGAGCCTGCCCCGCCTCTCCTCCCTGGCCCCAGCTCAAGTGCGGACTTCCTCCAGTGCAGCCGGCTATGACCTCATCCAGACCATGGGCTTCTGTTCTGGATCTGGTGCTGACGGTTGTGTGGCTTCAGCAGCTGAGCCTTGATGACTCTTTTCTCATGGGGACAGTAATCCCCCACTCACAGGGCTACTGAGGGACTGGGTGGTCTTGTGGAGAGTGCTCAGCACATACATGAGTGAGCACCGGGCAGACAGCAGGGCTCCTGCAGAGGACCAGTGGCCCTGTTCCAGACACTGATGTGACAGGAGATATCAGTGTCAGAAATTGGTGTTGTCTGAGTGGTATCAGATATTGGGGGTGGGGGCTGGACACTGGCTGTGTTAGGAGAGGGGCAGCAGTTAGAGTCCGAGGTTGAGGCTGGACGGCGCACCTGTGCACGAGGGCAGGTTGCAGGGGCGCTCCTGGGAGGGGCGCCCCACAGTGCAGTTGGTCAGGCAGAGGCGGGTCCGACTGCGCCAGGCAGGGTGAGTGGGGTCCGTGCAGCTGCGGGAGCAGGGGGACCACGGCGCCCAGGGGCCCCAGCCACCTGTGGGGAGGGAACCTCCTGCTGAGTCAGCCCTGGGCTCCGTCTCTCCAGAAGTAGTGATGGCACGGGAGGAGGCCCTGGCAGGCCCCAGGGAGGCCACCTGGGGAGCTGCAGGGAGTCTGAGGTACCTGGAAGGCCTGTCACTGGCTCTGCCGTGGACCCTTCAGCCCCTGTGTCAAAGGAGACCCTGCTCAGAAATGTTTTGGAGCCTGCAGTGCGCCAGGCCCCAGCTCGAGGCGATTGCCCAGCGCCAGGCCTGCTTCACCTTCCCTCGTGGTCACTGAAGTCCCTGGACACCCAGCCCCGAGTTCACACCCTCTCAGGGCGCCAAGGCCTCTGTTCAGGCCGCTCTTCTGCCTGCTGTTCCTTCCTTTCCAGTGCCCATCAGAACGCTTTTTACCCCTCAAAACCCTTCACTTGGGGTCTCCTCCAGAAGCCCCCCTTGGCTTTCTTACCAGAGCAGTCCGGGCTGAGGCAGTACTCGAGGTCCTGGCGGGGCCCTTGGCAGCCCTGGCCACCAGTAGCAAGTGCGGGGTGCACACACTGGCGGCTGCGTGTGCGGGTGCCCAGGCCGCCACAGGAGCGGGAGCAGGGGCCCCACGGGTCCCACGGGCTGAAGCTGGGGGCCTCAGGGCAGTCCTCTATGGAGCAAGACAGCTTCCCGTGGGCACAGGAGCTGGGGAGAGGCAACCCACGTAAGGGACAGGGCAGGGTGGACTGGGAGAAGTGTGGGTCAGAGTCTTGAAGACAGCCAGGTAGGGGCAGGGGACAGAGAGGAATTCCTGTGCTCTCATCCTTCTTTGGCCCCAAATTTCCCCACACATCCCAGACAGTTCCCACCCTCGGCATCCCCCTCACCAGTTGCTGCAGCCCATTCGAAACATTTGGCCTGGACTCAGCTCATCTCCGGGCCTGAGGGGCTGACCCTCCTCTCCCAGAGAGGCTGCGTGCACCCCAGCATCAGTGCTGCTGGCTCCCAGCTCCCGAAGCAGCAAGGCTGTCAGCATGCAGGGGCACTCCTGGGTGGGACAGAGGGGACAGCAATCACCCAGGACAACTGCTCACGGGACACCTTAAGGGAGCCTTCTTAAGGGAGAAGAAGGAATAGCAGTGTAAGGACCTAGAGGGCTCTGGGTCCCAGGAGGGCACTAGTGGATGCAAGAGGGACAGGGGACCTGTGTCAGGGGCATAAACACACCATGAGAAATACACAGGCCATGGGCTTGGCCTACGGGATCAGCCACCTTCCTGAGTAGGGTGCTCAGCAGGACACAAGCAGGCCCTGAGATGACAGGATATGGAGGCAGAGGGAGCCTCAGACAGGAATCAGAGGATTCAGGGTGACTGAGTTTGGGTGCATGACATTGGTATGTCCCTTCCCCTCTCTGGGCTCAGTGACATCATCTTTAAGTCAATGAGGTGGGACGAGGCAGCTGCACAGGTCCCTTCTGGCCATGGCATCCTGGAACTGACTGTGGGGATGCCACTGAGATTAGGAAAGGAAGCTCCTAGCCCCTGTTGGACTCAGCAGAGGGGCAGAGAGGCATGTGGGGGGCAGGGAGAGCAAAGGTGAGGGGTAATTCCCCACCAGGGTGGGCCAGGGAAAGGAGGGCATTGAGACCATGTTCCGTGGTGGAAGATATGGGTGAGGTTGGGCCAGGGGGTGTGGATGGATGGTGTGGGGGAGCCACGGGGCCCTGGAGGAGGCCCTGCCCTTTGGTGCCAGGAGGGCTGGATGTTGTAGCTAAAGGGACACACTACGGCGCCTGAGTGTATGGCATTAGAGCCCTGTGGGTGGCTCTGAGCTGGTACTAGGGGCTAGGAGAAATGCTGTGAGGAGCACAAGCCCCGGCACCAGCTGTGGGCCCCAGGTGGTCCCCTTTCCCCAGAATGAGAGACACCCTGGACACTGCACAGGCTCCACCAACTCTGCCCAGCAGCCCTACAGGCTAGTGTACTGCTTAGTGAGGAAGGGGTCGTCTGTCCAGAGGTCACTGAGTCGCTGAAGTGGTGAGCTGCCAGGGAGGGGCCGGGGAAGGCAGCCAGTGCCCCTGGCCAGCTGAATTCTGACCTGGACACAGGCCAAGCCGTGCTGGAAGGTACCCTCAGGACAGTGGCATCCCTCCTCACAGCCATCAGAGAAGCAGGCCACCCGCCCTGCGACGTGGGCACAGGAGAAGGGGCATCCTCCATTGGGCAGGCATTCGCGGTACAGACGTCCAGCTGGGCACCCTGCCTCTGAGGCAACAGCCCTGTCAGTGCCCAGCTCTGCCCAGGGTTCTTCCTGCTGACCTCTCACCCACACTTCCTGTGGCCTGCTTTCCACCCCCGGGATCCCCATCCCCACAACACCCTTTCCCACAGGCTCCCCTCGGCCTCCCTGCCTCCGCTTCACTAATGGCCAGGGAAGAGGCAGGTGGAGTGAGGGGAGGAGGGGTCAAAAGGCGCCCATGAGTCAGGGTCGAGCCATGATGGGACTCGAAGCTCAGTGGGGACTTCAGGGCCTGGGCCAGTGGGGGCTCACCTCTGCAGACCTGGGTGTGGCAGGTGCGGCTCTGGCGGGCCAGTCCTGGGCAGGGGGGTCGGGCACAGTGCCGGGAGCGCAGCTGCTCCCCTCCTCCACAGGAAACACTGCAGTCCTCCCAGGGGCCCCAGGGGCCCCACACACCAGCCCCAGGGCAGCTGGGCACCTCCCAGCACTGCAGGATGCCCGCCACACAGGTGCTGGGGACAAGCGAGAGGGCTTCAGGGATGGGCCTCGCCCACTCCCCTGTGGGCATTGCTGCTGGGCTCCGCAGCCCCTTACCAGTTGTTACACGGCCCCGTTACCACCTCTCCAGGTTCCAGACTCTCCCAGGAGCTGAGGCCAGAGCCTGCTGACCGGCTCTGATTCTCAGGGATCCCTGAAGGGCGCAGGAGTGAGCATGGGGGTTCCAGACAGCTCAGCGCTCCCCATCGGTCCCCACCCCACACCCCTGCCTTCCTGCACCCCACCCCACGGTGCCCATGTCCTTCAGCAAGGAGACAGGACAGCCTGGGATGGGGGCCTTCCCCTTCCCCTCCTGCAGCCTCAGGTTGGCCCCGTTGGCAGAGGCCCAGGGGCCAGGCAGGGGATAGTGGGCTGCTGGGGGACGGGGGGAGGCACTGACCCATGGCTCCCGGCTGGTACTGGCAGCGGCAGTGGACTGGAAGCACACAGAGCCCATCCTGGGAGAGCTGGCCTGGGGGACACCCACAGCTGGGCTGGCAGCCTCCTGGGCCTGGCTGGCACACACTCCCAGGGGACAGGTCCAGGCAGGAGCGGGGGCAGGGCTGCCCACAGGGCAGCAGACTCTGGCCACCCCCACAATCTAGGGCAAAAGGGAAGCAGAGAGGGTGGATGCTGAGGGACCATTCTGGGTGACACGAGCCCCTGCCACGCCTGCCGTCTGCTCAGACTGGCCACCTTGGCCAGGACCGTGAGGACTAGAATACCCTCCCTACCCGAGTGCTGTGTGGGGCACTTGGGGTCAGCGCCTCCCTAGATGGACAGGCTCTCCCAGCCCTGCTGGAGCCCTCACCTGCGCACTGAGTGGAATTGTCGTGACAGGGGCGGCTCTGCCAGTGGACGCCAGGGCAAGGCCTGCCACCCTCAGAGGTGGGGGGCTGGCTGCACTCCCTGCTCCTATGGGATTGTCCTAGACATGCGTCACAGGGAGACCATGGTCCCCATGGGCTCCAGGCTCCATCCACTGTACCAGGAAGAAACAGTCGTCACCTCAGGAGCCCCGGGAGACCCCAGGTGATGGAGGTTGTAGCAGTCGGGCCTCCGGGGGTGAGGAGACACAGGTCTTATGGTGGCACCACACCTGGGCACGTGGTGGAGCTGGGACAGGTCTCCCTCTGATGCTGGGCTCCCATCTCTCCAGGGCACAGGGCACCCCCATGCTGAGGAGCAGGGCAGGCACAGGCCCTAGAGCGGGTCCTTGTTTGGCCTCTGCAGGGCTGGAAGCATGCCGTCCACTCTGACCACGGGCACCAGCCTCCAGGCACTGAGAGGAGAATGGCAGGCACTGGGTGTAGTTGGCCCCTTCCCCAGCCCTCAGGCCACCATCACCTCCCTCCAAACTGGGCACATACCTGGGCAGGGCAGTTCTGAGCAGTTGAGCCTCCCCTCCAGGCAGGTGCTGGGCAGGGAGGCAGGCACAGGGTGGGGAGAGGCAGCAGCTCAGTGCCGCCCCAGGCCCCACATGCAACCTCCTGGGCATCCTCCCCCTGTCCTCCTCCCCCTATTCCTCGGGTTTATGTCCCATCTCCCCACTCTCCAGTATCCCTAGAGCCTTCTCCCTGTGCCACTCAGATGGCTGCCCAGGGGTGTCACAGCTGGTATGTTCTACTGGGGAATGGCTGCTGGTTACAGGTTATGGGCTGCAGGTGAGGCTGGACAGCAGGAGTAAATGACCAGCCCCCTCCTCCCTGGGGGCGTATACCCAGCCCTCAGCACACACAGGGAACTGGCTGCCTCGGTTTCCCCACCTATCAGATAGGAGTTATGGTGCCCACATTTTTTCAGGGACAGTGGGGCCTAAGGTGCCCACTGGCTGAGATTCTGGAGCTCAGGTGCTCAGACGCCAGATGGGGCCACTCCTGCGGACATCCCTGCCTCCTTGCCACAGGGGTGCAGCCCGCTCACCAGTGGTTGCAGCCGTCGGGCCTTGCCAGCTGAGCGCCTGGACGGTGCCGCTCCCCGGTCAGCAAGTCCAGGCAGCCACAGTGACCAGGATGCACACAGAGGGTCCCATCAGCACTCAGCACTTGGCCTGGGGGACAGTAGCAGCCAGGCTGGCAGTGCCACACACAGTGCTGGAGGGACAGCAAGGGAGGATTCTGGTCAGCAGAAAACAAGGCCTGAGGGGTGGGGGGACTCAGTGGAGGGACCCTCGGAAGGAGGCTGGAGGGAGAGGATGAGGAGGGGAGGAGAGAGTGTGACCGTAGTGGAGAGGCCTCCTGTTTCTAACCGTTGGTGCCTTGGAGCTCTGTTAAGAAAGGCCAGAAGGGGAATGGGCAGAAAGGCCATTCCCTGGCGGCTCCCAGGGAATGGACCTGGAACCTGGCGTCCTACCAGTGACAGACCCCGATGTCTTGGGATGGTGGGTTCAGTTGGTGACCTGGACCAGTGACCTGGGAACTGAAGCACAACCAGACCTCCCTAGAACTTCAGGAGCAGGGACCCCAGAAACCTGGCTGAGCCAGGGAGGCTTCTGGGAGAGAGCTGTGTCCTCTGGGGACACTGAAGCCAGGCCTGCCTGCTGCAGCGACAAAGTTCTGTCCAAGTCCTCTTGCCCCTCCCCCTCCCTCACCACGTCTGGAACCTTCCCTGACCTCCCTCACACATCTCCGCACATCAGGGCCTCGAAGACCATCTTAATCCTCAGGGTGCTTATCACGGTGTCCAATCTCAAGCTGCATCTGTCTTCCTAACCCCCAAAACGTGTGATCATGGGGACAGGGCCCCGCTGTGTTGGCCTCCTTCGGTGTCCATGGTGACTGGGAGGTGCTCAGTAAGTATTCACTCACATGCACAAACACAAGAGATGAGGTTTGCCCACCAAAATGCTTGTGGCATCTAAGAAGGTGCGCCCGGATGATTTCCCCTCCCTATATGCTTGTGATACAAGTTTTAATTGGGGGAACGTTTGCTGCACCGAAGCCAAGGGCTTCTGGGTACAGCTGTCACTCTCTGGAACCAGGGGAGCCAGCCTGGTGTGCTGATTGTCAAGTGAAGCCCAGGACCTCACCCGTCTCCGTCAGAGCCGGCCACATAGCACCAAGTCAGAAGAGGCCACGAGCCCAAGGCAACATTCAGCCTCTCACAAGGTGACCCTTGGGTCAGAGGTCAGCTGGGAGTGTCAAGGGAGCGCAGACTCACCACCAGGTCATCACAGGAGCGGGGGCAGGGAGGGCCGCAAGGGCTGTACTGGGCCCCCTCAATGGCAGTGCAGTCAGTCACTAGGAGGGAGACAGAGTGGGCTGAGAGCAGGTGGGGGCCTCCTGTCCCACTCCCAGTGCCGCTTCCTCCAGCTTCTCTTCTGCTCCCCGGTACCCGGCTCCCTGGCAGGTACCTGGGCACGGCTGAGCCTGGCAGGCTTCTCCCTGGGCCTGAGGCCCCTCACAGAAGTCCCCCAGCCCTTGAGGTGGTGGTTGGTCACAGGCTCGGGTCCGGCTGCGCAGGCCGCCCCCACAGCTCCGACTACAGCTGGACCAGGGCCCCCAAGGCCCCCAGCCTCCTGCCCCTGGGGGACATCAGAGGAGGGAATCTGGAAGGGCTTGGTGGAGAACCAGGGCAGTTGGAGCACGGTGGCGGTGGGAGGTGTCCACAAGGACGGGGCATCCTGGGTGGCAGGGGAGGAGTTGGCTACGGCACCAGGCAGGCACTCACGGTCACACCCTGGCAGGAGGCAGGGCTCCTCCTCAGCCTCCGGGCCTGGGCAGAGGGGTGTGGGTGTGGCTGGTGAGGGCCCCAGGGCCAGAGTGGACGGTGCCACGCTAGAGGGCCTGTCACAGAAGCGATGCCGGTGGCGTCGGGCAGGCCCGCAGGAGGCTGAGCACACACTCCATGGGGTCCAGGGTGACCATGTGGGCTGGCCTTGGGGTGCACAGGATTGGGGAAGGAGAAGGTGAACAGTGCATGCTAGGGGAGCGTGACTACCAGGATGGATGCGCAGCAGCCCCCCATCTCTCCAGAGGGCCCCACAACCCCTGCCGACTCAGCCCAGGCCCTCTGCTGCCCAGGGAAGAGGTGGGACCCTTTCTCACCCTCCTCACAAGGCCAGGAGGTACAGTTGGTGATGAGCCCAGAGATGCAGGAGCTGCCAGGGGACAGCAGAAGGTCAGGTGGCTTGTGGGCTGCCTGGTGTTCCCCCAAATCCTCAAGCCCATCCCCCAGTACCTATGAATGTGGGCTTACTGGAAGATGGGTCTTTCCAGAGGTCATCAAATTAAAGTGGTCCCTAATTCAGTGTGACTCTAGTCCTTATAGAAGAGGAGATTTGGACATAGGCATGCAGAGAGGGAAGAGACACAGG